GCCATAATTATTGAATATTACAATTTTGAAACTATTTTTGTATAATGTCAGAACAAATAAGGTGTTCATGTAATTAGGAACTAAGATTTTCATTACTAAAGAAGGAATGCACGAATATAAAGTCAAAGATTCTATGGAAAAAAAATAGCTTAAATTTGAATTTAAAATATCAATATGAATTCATGTTTTATAAAACTCAGGTTTTATAAAATATATAAAAAATATATAAAAATATATTTCCTACATCTGTGCACTGAAAATCTTCAAGCCTCCAAACATGAACACCCCTGTAATCAATGAACACACCCAGACCTTGGCTCCTAAATATAATTCCCCCAACTAAAAGGAACCAAGGCTCATTTTGACAATTCAGTTGATTGCAATACAGGGCCAAGGAAAATATAAGGTGAGTGCTGGGACATCTTTTATTTCTAGAAAGCAAGGAAATGCTCCGAGGCAAACAAATGCATGTCAAATGAACATAGTAGCCAGCAGGACCAAATTTGGGACAAGTTTAGCATCAAAAAGAAAAATTACCGTATTTAATCATCAAACAAAATTATTGAACACCACCATTCAAGGGAAGTATTTCACTGAACTCCTTACTCTATAAAATAATATGGAAAGAGAAACTATTACACACTTGGCCTTTTTTTTTTTTTTTTTAAAGGAGAAACTGTATTTAACCCCAGTTTATGATGGAAAGGTCTTCTTTACAGAAAAATGCCAGCTATCCCATGCAGATATAATGACAGATTTAGAAAATCAGCATTACCAACTCCCAGTGAAAGAAACCAGGCATGGTTCATCCAAGGATGTTAGAACTATTCACTAACACTATTCCAGGTTATTGGGGAACAGAGGACTCATATAGCCCTCAATTAACACCCAACATGTTATTTGCCAATTGCAAAGGGAGAAAATGTACCTTTAACAAGTGAGAGATCCGACAGCCACCAGCATGCACAAGTGATTTCTCTTAGCCATGGGGATACTGGCAATCACCTGACATTATTCATTCCATGGATACAATACCAAGTATACAGTATCTTGTATGAAGTGATTTTGCAAAGAAATTAAGTTTTATTAAATCAAGGTCCTAGAGCAAGGGTCCTCAGACTTTTTAAACAGGGAGCCAGTTCACTGTCCCTCAGACCATTGGAAAGTGCGCACTGTGGGCCCGGGACGAATCGGCTGCTAAGCAGGACAGGCAGCGGTGGCAAAAACACCTGGAGGGCTGGATAAATGTGCTGCTAGGCGGCCCACATATGGTCTTCGGGCCATAGTTTGAGGACGCTTGTCCTAGAGGATCTAGATCTAGCTTTTGGTTTACAGAAACTAGAAGGGATAGAACAAATTTAAGAATAATGCAATGAAAAAAATAAAAAATCCAGTGTGTGGGACATTCTATAAGGTCTCTGGACTCTTCCCAAAAGTCAGTATCGTTTATAATAAATGGTTGAACTAGTCTAGATTGAAGTAAACTAATAGAAATAAAATCAAATGATACATTCAGCTGGCTCTGGGCTGAGAAAATAGCTTAAAAATATATTTTGGAGACAACTAGAAAATGTGAAGATTGACTAGATGATATTAGAGGATTCTTTTTAAGTGTGATGTCTGATTGTATAATAGGTAGAACATTATTTTTAAGTGAAAAGTTAACAACTGTTGGATTACATGGTAGATATATAGTATCTGTTATATAATTCTTTCAAACTTTCTAGATGATTAAAATTTTTCATAAGAATTGAGGAAAAATTTAAATACATAATATCACCTATGAGGTATTATAGCTAAAATAATTAACTTTAATCCATGAAGCTTTTCGATATAACTTTTAGTTTGTAAGAAACAGAGGGCATGAAGGAATAAGCTAAATGACATTTTGAGAAGCCAGATGACAGAACATTCAGTATGACAACTGGCCTGGTCCCTTCAAGTCAGTGGCATAAAAAGGGTTGGTGTTAAATTAAGACAGTCTTAAGGGACAAAACAACTAGACACAATCTGTCATCCTGGATTGGATACTCGCTTGGCCAAACTAGGTATAAAGGACATTTGGAGTCAATTGGTCAAATCTGATTATTGTCTAGGGCATCAAATGAGAATGAAAATTTGTGATGTGGAAGGTAACAGATGATTAACTAAAATCAATCTCAGGTTATAAACTTTTACGTATAGAAGTTTTTTATATATAATTTTTATATACATATAAAACAAACTCATTTGGGGAAATCATAAATGTGTGTATAAAAAACTATGGGAAAAAAAGATAAAGGATAAGTATAGAGATTTTATCAATAATGATCACTGGATAGATGGTTATACAATGCTTTTCTTTTAAAATTTTGGGTGATCTATATGTTGCCACTTTCTACAATGCAAATGTACATAATTTTAAAAAAAGACTTTTACTTTAAAAGCTTTAGAAAATACAGGAGAATATCTTTATAACCTTAGAGTAGGAGAGAATTGTTTTTAAAAGACCCAAACAAGAACAAGAAAAATTTATAAATGCAACTACTTTTAAACAAAGTCTGTTCATCAAAACATAAAAAAAACATTAAAACTACAAACCAAAAGAAAATCAGTTTTTGCAACATCTATAACAAAAAAAAAGATAACATAGAATAAATAATTCTTGTGAATCCATAGGTAAACATAAATCCCAGTAGAACAATGGGCAAAAGTTATCAACAGTTATTTCCATTGAAAAATAATACACCAAAGTCCTTTAAAGTCTATGAGAACTTGCTCACATTCATTAGAATCAGGGAAATGTGAATTAAAATCATGAGATATAACATACACCCACCAGATAACGGAAACTCTCTCATATACTGCCAAGAACAGTATAAAAATTGGTTTAACCAATTTAAAAAATAATAATCTGGCATTATCTTATAAATCTGATCATGTACGCTGCTCACAATACCTATTTCTAGGTATATCTATTAGAGCAGTGTTTTACAAACTCTAGATAGTGGTGCACCCAATTTAGTAGTTTCTAACTAGCATTTTAAAATAGAATAGAAAGTCAAATATCTCTGTATACTGCAAGTGGCTTAAGGTAAAGTATGGTTTTGTGAGAGTTCACACACACACATTCGATCCCATAATGCAAAATACATTTCTTACTATGGGTCATGTGCCAAGGAGTTTGACAACTACTGCCCTGCAGGGAAAACTCTTACACATAAGCTCCAAGAGACTTGCAGAAATGGCATTATGTGCAACAGCAAAACCCTGGAAAAACTCAGAAGTCCTCCATCTAGAATGGACAATTTGTTGTGTATGGATGCACTGCCTTGCTATGTCACAGCAAAAATGATACATATAATGGTCACATGTATCGACACAGATGCTTCTCAGAAACATTAAGCAAAAAAAAAAAAAATAGAAGAACATACTAAGTATGAACCTGTGTATATGAAGAGATCTTAAAATATGCAATGTTAAGGATTTAACTGTGATAAAGAGCACAACGAAAAAGAAGGGAAGAACAAACACAAAAATCAGGTTATCCTTTATAGAGGGTGAGAGAGGTGATGGGCTTGGAGGTACAAACAAAGGGCATCTAGCATTCTGGTTAGTTCTCAAGCCAAGTGGTACACACACAAATGGATCACTGGGGCCATCTCTGAGTCACTAAATCTACTACCCCAAGCACTGATCTTTGGTGTAATTGTTACAGGGTTAACTTTTCCTTATTGTTCAAGCCCCACTTAGAGTTGTATTTTCTACTACTCACAGTTAAAAACGTTCCAACTGGAACAGTCCCTTAATTTAGATGCTGTACAACTGGGATCTGACTTCATATAAACTCTCATTTAATCCTATTCTGTATTTAATCCTATTCCTATTCTAACAGTATCATTAAAACCTTACAATATTAGTGAACCCCAACTACAAAAATAGTTGTTTGTAAAGGAGAGACCACCAGTGAACAGTTCAGAATTTTTTCTTAAATCCTAGGAGACTCATTCCTTGGAAACATTCTGATGAAGCGTGATACCAAGGACAATCAAGATTTAAAAGAAAAAAAAATCTGTAAATCACCAAACAGATAAGGAGCCAGGCTTGTACTCTTGCCCTCAAGCAAAGAGCAGTTTAATCTGCCCAGGAGATCACAGTTCCCATCAAAGCTCCAGGCTGGGGTCAAACCACAGGCAGAATTCGGCCACCGGGGGAGTTCTCCAAAGGAGACAGAACAAGGGAGTGAGGAGATTTAGCCCAGAAAGGGGAATGATCTCAGCTGTCTGGCCAGAGGAATAGAGAACAACGGTTTCTCCCCAGGCAAATGCCATACTGGAGACCAGCCCCACCTCCCTGGCAGACAGAAAGAAAGGGGTAGGCAAGAAAAGGGGACCCACAGAGGGAAATACAGACACACACACCCCATTTATTCCATCTAGCAGACATGTTACAGGGTACATCCTTGAACTGCATCATTTCATTTAATCCTCAAAACAATTCTGCAAAGGTTAAGTCTCCTCGTGTTACAGATAAAGATGCTAAAGGCTCAGAGTTTTCATAAACTGCCAAAGGTTACCCATGAGTGGTAGGGGAAGCTGGGACTCAAACCGGTGGCTCATGTTCTTTCCTTTATAGCACAGACATGAAGAACGAGGAGGACGGGGGAACAACTTGACCCTGGGTCATTACCTCTCAGAACAGACTCAACGGCTGCCCCCGGCAGCCCCCGCCCTGTGCATTGCTGGCCACGTGGGGAAGACGCAGACCCCCCCCAAGCTCAGCAGGACTCCGTTACAGCAAGGGGTGCTACCCTCCCCATCGGTTCCAGGCCCACAGCACCGCCCCCATTCTCCATCAACCACGCCCACCACCTCCTCCCACATGCATAGTCTCAGCCACGCAGGAAGCTGGGTTAAAATAAAAAGCAGTTTGCTCCAGGCACCTATACCCCTGCCCAGCCCCGTCCAGCTTCCCTCTGACTCTTGCTGCTAAGTCCCACTGTTGGTGATTTCCGCAGTTACCTAAGGTCCAGCAAGAGACGGCCCCGAGCAGGGGGACACTGCCGTAGATGGCGTGCATGTACATGAGGTGCACCATCAGCTCGGCCAGCCACCACCAGAGCAGGAGGCGGCCCAGCCCCAAGATGAGGACGCGCAGGCTGGCCTTCGGGGAGCCGACCTCCTGCTGCTGCATCTGAAGTAGAAACGAAAGAAGTCATTAGACTATGCCTGGATTTCCAAAATAGTCCCCCAGACAATGTTTTTAATAAGCTTCCCGCAAATGTAACTGCCGTACAGACTAACAGAAGGTTAGGTTTGGTTTGCCTTGGGAACACTCCATGTTCTTGGGTGACATAGTCACATCTGAGCTTGAAAAGGGTCCCAAAGTAAGAATAGGGTGAGATTGACAAGCGAGCCCAGGGCCAAGAACCAGAGACAGGTTCTGTATCCCCAACCCCAGCAACACCCCAGGAAAAGCCCAGCTGGGAGGGAGCACTGGGTGTTTTCTCCTCCTTGGGACCCTGAGATCTTTGGGCTACAGGTGCCACCTGCCTGTCTTCATCCATCACTGACTCACATCTGGGGCTGGTAAAAGCAAAGCCCAGTCAAAAGGGACATAGGACTGGAAAGAGAAAGGGAGAACGAGCGATAGAGACACAGCAAGGATAAAATGAAGCATGGGTGTGTCATTCATTCTACCTTCAGTTGTTTTTGCAACATGGCAGAGCAGATGCAACAGTGAGCACACGTGAGACAAGTCTCCTGCTTAGCAGGTGGTATAGCGTAACGGTTCAGAACACAGACTTTAGAAAATGCAAACACCTGGTAGTGTCGCCATCAAAACAATATTGAGTTTTTCACTCTATAAACTCAGGATATTTTTCCATTTTTTCAGGTCTTCTTTAATTTCTTTCATCAGTGTTTACAGTGTTCAGGCTACAAACCTTGTACCTCTTTGGTTAAATTTATTCCGAAGTATTTTTTTTTATGTCATGGTAAATGAATTTTTTCTTAAAAAAAGACTTTAGAAACAAGATCGAATTCTAGCACAAACCACACAGCTGTGTGATCTTGAGCAAGTTACTTAACCTCTCAAGAGTCTGTGTTTCCTCACAATACAGTGGAAAAAAATAGTTGTGAGGATTAAATATGATAAAGTATGTGCAGTGCTAAGCACAGTGGCTGGCGTACAAAAGGCTCTGGGTAATTGGTAGTCAACATCTGATCGTTACGTGCCTCCTACTTGTGCCTTCTTCACAGTCTTCCCTCGTGGCACCCAGACCACCAGCTACAGGGCACCATTAGGAGACAGCTCAGAACCAAATGCCAAATGTGAGAGAAGAATTGTTTTCCAGAATGTTTTCATTATTGATAAGACATACACAGAAGCTACTGAGAGTGTGGACAACACAGATAAAAATTTCAAAAGGTCTACCATAGTAGCCTGGATCTGTGATCTTGCCTGTTGTTCAGAGTTGCATTATTTAAAACACAGATTCTAGAATTCATAAACATGCTGCAAAGTTTGAAGTGAATCCAATTTCCTCCAAGACTAGACAAACAGAAAAACAAAGAAGGGTAGTAAGTTTTCTGCAACTCACAATGACAAGATTCGATTAGACTGAAGGCTGCCTTGAAACGCAGAGGAGAAACTAGTGCTAAATGATAAAGATGCTAAATCCATCAGTTGGTCCATGACATGGACTTGACCTAGCGTTTGACAACTGGGGCTCAAGACACTAAATGAGAAGGGGCCATTGCTAGAGGAAGATGATGGCGAGGTGCTTTCTTGCTTCTCTCCCCTTTCCCTGTGAAGGTGCACTAAGTCCCTCTGCAGAGGGGAAGTGACAGCTACACACCAGGGGATTTATTTTTGTTCCACTTTTTAACATACATTCTATCACCCTCTCAAACTGTCCTTGCACCGCAAGAAGCCAGGCTTAGAAATTCTGACAGGCTCAGTGGCACTATGATAATCTTCAGGAATGACTTTTCCCCTTTGCTACCTACATACTTAACTATGCGCAGCAAAACTCACTGGCTTAATTTTTTAAGTGTAAATGGATAAGACTAACAGAAATTCCCTTGATCCTTTAGTTTCCCTTGGTTTACTTCGGGAAGGTATGTGTGCAGCCATACCAACCTGCTATAGGAAATAACAGCGACTGCTCTGAAGAATCCCTCGGGTCGGCTTAGACAGGGAGGCACCGCTTGGGAAGGGTTCCCCAAGAAGGAAGACGAGGCGTATTGGGGTATCTGCAGACTTGCACTCATCACACCTACCGCAATTCCAGCTGCACTGCAGTGACCCAATGCAGAACACTTTCGGGCCATAAACTGAGGATGCTTTTCAGTTGCAATCCTTACCTCATGCATGCATGCTCCGAGAGACCTACAAAGTCTACAGTGGTGGAGCTACAAGCCAGCAGATCACTAAATCCTCAATGCAGACGCACCTACCTTCCAGATCATTCGTATCTGCGTTAATCGAGGAGGAAGAAAATGGGAAAAACCCAAACAAGCAGGCTATCGGTTACAGGCACAAGTGCACTTTCTTATCATGTAGCCAGGAAAGCTACTTCTGTTCAGCGTGCCTACGATAATGAAAGGCTAGAAGGACATACGCCAAAATGGCAACAGTGGTAATCTTCAGATGGTGAGATTTTAGTTATTTTAGATAATTAAAGTGGTTGGGTTTCTTTTGGTTTTTTTGTTTTTTAAATCAGGGGGAAAGTAATGTAACCTTACACTATTGCAATGGCTTTGGCCCTCTCTGCTAGTGAAATGTACTCAAGGCCCCTTGATTTCTGCAGCCACTCCTGAACACTTCTGGGGTCAGGACTTCTGCCAAGAAACCCAGCATCCTCTGTGAGCAAGTGTTCTTCTCTTTCATGCTACACTGATCTTTATTTCTCCTTACCTTCTCCTTTCACTCTTAGATTTTCTTAGCTATGAACCGAGTTCTTCTTTGTTCCTCTCAACCCTGTTCCAGCTCTTTAAAGCAAATTCGCTTTGACCTAATGACCACTAGCAAACGAGAAAATGATTACAGACACACTGCCATGGTCTAGCCTGTTCTGTTTCTTCCCAAAATTCGTATGTTGACATCCTAATCCCCAAGATGATGGTACCAGGGCGCGGGGCCTTTGGGAAATGACCAGGTCATGGTGGCAGAACCCTCAGGACTGTGAGTAATGCCCTTATAAAGGACAGCCCAGAGAGTTAGCTGGTTCCTTCCACCATGTGAGGACACAGCGAGAAGGTGCCACCCCCTATGGGCCTTCACCAGACACTCTCTCTCTTCCAGCACGTTGGTCTTGGAATTCCCAAGCCTCCAGAACTGTGAGGGGGAAATTTCTGTTGCCTCATAAACCACCCAGTTTATGGTATTGTGTTACAGCAGCCCAAATGGACTAAGACAGAAAATTGGTACCAAGAGTGCTGTTGTCATGTGACAAATACCTAAAAACCTGAACTGGGTACCCCCCTGCACTGCCCACTCCAAGTCCATGGAAAAATTGTCTTCCATGAAATCGGTCCCTGGTGCCTAAAAGGTTGGGGACAGCTGATTTATTGGGCACAAATGAGGAACTTGTCATTGGAAATCGAAGGAAAGGCGGCTCTTGTTATAAAACGGCAAGAAACCTGGCTAAATTATGTTCGTATCCTTGTGTTGTGTGGAAGGCAGAACTTTTGAGTGAAGAAATTGGATGTTTAGCAGAAGCCCTTTTTCTAAGCAGAGCATTGAAGGTGCAAGCTTGGCTCTGCTCGGCTGTTTATGGTCCAATGGCAGAAGGCAGGAGTGCTTTAAAAACAAAGTTGTTCATCAAAAGGGAAGTGGGACATAAAGATTTAGAAAATTCTCAGCTTATCCACAGTGCCAAGAACCATGCAAGTCCATTCTGAGGCTCACTGGCTTCCCAATAACCGCTTACCTACTTTCCACAGGCCAAGACTTCCCTCCCGGGTTTAACAAGGCATGATTATGTGTCACTATAGCGCCAAAAGGGCTGGACATTTCTCTGCAATGCTTCCTTTTTGATGCTAAATGCCTCCTCATTATGAGGACAAAAAAGTTTATTACCTAATTATGCAAATAAACACAGCAGAAGGAAAACAATACAACTTTCCTATCTGCTTTTACCTTAAAAAAAATGGCTATCGGCCGGGCCGGTGGCTCACGCCTGTAATCCTAGCTCTCTGGGAGGCCGAGGCGGGCGGATTGCTCAAGGTCAGGAGTTCAAAACCAGCCTGAGCAAGAGCGAGACCCCGTCTCTACTATAAAAAGAAAGAAATTAATTGGCCAACTGATATATATATATATAAAAAATTAGCCGGGCATGGTGGCGCATGCCTGTAGTCCCAGCTACTCGGGAGGCTGAGGCAGAAGGATCGCTTGAGCCCAGGAGTTTGAGGTTGCTGTGAGCTAGGCTGACGCCACGGTACTCACTCTAGCCTGGGCAACAAAGCGAGACTCTGTCTCAAAAAAAAAAAAAAAAAAAAGGCTATCTTTCTTTAGTCATGTCATTATTACAGTCCATTTATACTTTCAATGTGGTTGGCTCCCTTTTATTAAAAAAAAATAAAAAAAACAGCATTTGTTCCCTGTCAACCCAGCAGGAAGAACAGACATGCTGTACACATCTCATCCAATGAGAAGGGCCGCTCTCTCTTGTCTGCATGCAAAATTTGTCATCTGAGACATTTCAAACCTGGGAGATTGCCAACCTCAAGACCACTGGAAACTGCTGCCATGGAAATTTTAAAGTTCAGGCGCCACCGAAAAATACACATTAACTCATCTGCAAAGTGCATTTCAAAACGCATTATATTTTAAAGCCTCATTTCATGCAAATTGCATAAAAAGGAATAGCAAAGCCTTTCTCTTTCAAAGATATTCTGATGATGAAAGATGACAAGTTCTCAAAGATGAAAGGTCCCTTTCCTTCACATACTAATAATACATGTGTTTGAGAGCACCAGCAAAAGCCTCACCCAGAGCCAATTATTCAACTGGGCCCTTCCTGCTCCTGGCTTCTCTCTGCTCGGGTCTGGGGGCTTTGTAGCAGATGGCTTATTCCTTTACAGTGGGCACAGTTCGTCTGCATTCTGTGGTCGGTCACAGACTATACTCTTGCTCCCAACACATCACTCCCTCATTATCAGATCCTCACTGCCCCTCCCCAGCCCTCTGGACCACGGCCGGTGACACTCAGTGACGTCTACCAGAGCAGCACGTGGGGCCTGCCGCTGGTGTTGCTGCCACAGGACTGGAACCTGGTCTGGCCAGTCTGAACGTCCAGACTCGGGCGTCCACCAGGCCACCCTCTACTCCCCTCCCTCCTGTCACACCAAGTCAGCATGGCCAGGCTCATGTCTTCCTTCCTCCTACCCAATCTGCATTCCAATAGCCTCATTTTGCCCCCACGTGTCCCAGTCTGTAAAGTGACGACAACAGTTTTGCTTTCATAGAGCTATCGTGAGGATGAAGCAAGTTAGAACGTGGAAAGCCTGGCTCGGAGTACTCAGTATTATTTATTATATAATTAGCATCATTCCAGGTGATCTCTAGAACCAGAGCCCGTGCCAAACCCCGGGCTAAGCTCTGGGACGCTGCCTGCCTGCCCAGCGCCTGCCAGGCCCAGCTGTTCAGGGCTGGGCCCCACCCTGTACCTGCAGCTGGTTCCCAACTGCCTGGGTCTCTTCCAACAGAGGGGACCAGCACACTGGCCTCTTCCGAGGTGAAGGATGGCCGCTGTCCGGGACCCCCTGCTGCTGTGCCCCTACCAGACTGGATATACCCAGGTCTCAGTTCTAGCCCACACTCACCCTGGAATTGCCACAGGCATTTGGCCAATAACATCAACAATAATAATAGTAGTAAGAATCAATACTCCTAGTACTGATGTGCCAAGCCACATTCCCTATTCAAAATCATTTAGTCCTCACATCAACCCATTTCACTGATAAGGTAACTGGAGGCATAAATAAGGTAGTATCTCACCAAATCCTCTCAAGCCAAAGCAAAATATTCCAATCTGCATAGTCGGGCTCGAGCCTTTGCTCTTAACCTCCATGCCAAATCCTGAGGTAGGAGAACCACCCCATGGAAGAACCCCACCCACCACACTGAGCCCCCCAGCCCACACTGCACAATTCAGCTTGGTCAAAGCGAAATGTCGTGGCCCTACCCTCCAAGCTAAGCAAATAAACGGCACGTCCTGCTCTTCCCTCAACCCCCCATCCCTGCCTCACCCTGGCTCGATATCCAAGTTCCACAGAAACACGGGACAAAAATAAATCAGGCCCATCGGGCTCTAAATGCCACCAGAAATGGCTTTCAAGTTAAGGCACGGAGGTAAATTTTTAACTGTTTGTGAATGATGTGTGTAAATTTCACATGCCTTACATTACAGAAAGCACCTCCTTCTATACTTCCTGCATTTTGTGTATGTAAATTTACATGCTAAAAACTTGGGTGAAAGACACATCCCCCTCCAGGGGTGTACCTAACATGGCCATTTTATCACTTGGACTTTGCAAATTCCCAACCGGGCACCAATTTCCCTCCTGGGTTGGTTTCCATGATGGGGTTCTGCTGCCCCCTGGTGGTGCAGCCTCACCCTGCTGCTCTTTGTTGTTTCTGAGCATTGACCTGACAATTAGACCTATGAATCTCAATACTACCAATGCTTACATTTGAAGGCACTGTATATGTTCATTCATTCATTCAAGCACCTGCAAGCACAAATCTTGCTTACAAGTTCTTCCAACAGCTTTCTCCCTCCCCGTCCCAACCTTTTTCCCTACTGGTCTCTCTGAAAGAATCTTTTCACCACTAGGTTAGCTTTTTGATTTAACCAACTCCTCCCCTTTCAAAGCCCCCTTGCCTATAGGAGGGAAGCACCCATAGGCATCTTCACAGCTGCAGAAACTTCCTGGCTTTTTTGTATGTGCTTGTAGCTCACTGAACATTTTTCCCTTTCTAGATTGACTTTTCTATGAATATTCTCAGATCATACAGAAACATTTTAATTTGCCCTTCCAAGTTCTCTTCTGCTCTCTGCAATTGCTACTGTTTTAGAAGAGGCAAAAAAAAAAAAGAGAGAGAAAGAGAGAGATAAGATATACATGGAACCCAGAGTCTCTATAACTGAGCCTGGATAGGAAGAAACGACAGCTCTGTCCCCCAGACTGAGACCAGACAATATGAGCCCTGGGCTGAGGATTGAGGTGAGCAATAACCTCGAAGTGAGCCTCGGCATGACAGATACAGGACCCCACAATAGGCCTCCGATATTCCCACTGGACCCTACAGACCACAAATTGAGAGGAGATGAGAAGCAAAAAGACCCATTGCTTTGCACCATAACAAAGTGCAGATCCTACAGGACAAAGCTCCTTATTAAGGAGGGGCAGTTAGGAAAATAATTTGTTTCCTCCTAATGGATTTAGTCTGTGTTTCTCTGAGAATTACCTACCCACCATCTGTCCTCAGGACAGGGATGTCTGTGTATGGATGTTTAGTCCAAAAGTTCTTGCCTGGAAAATTGGGAAGACTTCAAAACTCACAATGGTGAGGAGACTGTAAAACAGACAAAACTGGCAGGACCTGAACCCACCCCTATACAGCATCTTTCCCACACCCCCTTCTGAGGAAGGAAGGATGCTGATCCTCAACCTCTAGCAAGCATCAGAGCCACCTGGGGGCCTGTTAAACCACTCTGCTGGGATCCACGCCCAGAGGTTCTGATTCAGGAGGTCAGGTAGGACCTGAGAACTTGCATTTCTTACAAGTTCCCTGGCGATGCTGACTCAGATGCTGCTGGCCCAGGGACCACACTTTGCAAACCAGAGTTAGAAGATCTGCTGCCACCGCTAAACCACCTCCTCTGTCTTTTACACCAGTGGTCCCCAACCTTTTTGGCACCAGGGACCAGTTTCATGGAAGACAATTTTTCCATGGACCCAGGAGCGGGGGTGGGAGGGTGGGGGGGGGGGGGGGGGGGGGGGGAACGTTGCAGGGAGATGAGAAGCGATGGGGAGAAGGGGAGCAATGGGGAGCAACAGTAAATATAGATGAAGCTTCGCTGGCCCTCCTGCCATGTGGCCTGATTTTCCTAAGAGGCCACAAGACCCTTGGGGACCATGGTTTTATACAATAATTTTAAACACAGATTTCAAATTAACTTCATGACAAGAGATCCTATGTAACCCAAACCAAGGTATGAGAAACCACACCCTAAACACACATCTACCTAGAATGTCAATTTCACTTTAAGATTTCTAAAGAGAAAAAAAGTTATACACTTTCACTGGCTGTTTTAGAACATTATGTCATTGTTATAATGCAAAAATACAGTTCTGAGTACAATGCATAACTTACAGGAATTTTCAAGACAGAAGCATTTCTAAGAATGCTCCTTTTTTTTCCAGGGGGCATCCCCCTCATGTTCCCCTACCCCAGAAACGTGCAGACTGCTGTTGGCTCTCCACTTTAAACCATGATGCCAGGCGTGTGTGTGTTTGTTGTATGCACAAACATGTTATTCTCTCCATCAGAATTGTTTCGTTTTGGTGGTGGGAGTAGCAATGTCCCTTGAGAAACACTGCTGTAGGTATTATTGATTATTAATACCTTAGGTGAATTAACTTAGCAAACATGTTCCATGAAACTAGATACGGGTTAAAGGAAAAGAAAAACAAACAAGAAAGTTCTAAGGAGAGGGAAAGGTGAAGTGGGAACAACGAAGGCAGCCTAACATGGCATTTCGGGACAAGGACGTCATCCAGAGAAGTCAGGCAGGGCCCAGGCACACAAAGGCATCCAGACCCGAAAACGCACCATTGCCCTTGAACTTTCTTCACCTCCCCCCCCCAATCCCTATTTTCTCATCTGGGTCACCCTTGATTCCCAGGCTACGGCAGGCCTATTTCATAAATTTTTTCTTTCCCCAGGACTTCCCTGCAATGGACACCAACTCCCAAGTCCCTCTCCGTGTGCCCCAGCTATCAGCTCCAATTGCCGCGCTCCGCTGAGAATCAGAATGGGCACCCCTAGAGCAAACATACATGAGAGGCAGATCACCCTTATTTTCCCGTGTATTTGGTCTGTTACGTGAAAACTCACAATAGCTAAGCGTGTGTCTTAAATCTCAAGCACACCTGAATGAAAAGGTTCAAAAGTCCCAGAGATGACCTGGGCAACAAGGTCAGGGACTTACTCAATCCAACCCCCGACGGGCCCCACCTGTGTGACGAACTCCGGGAAGCCCAGGATGGGCCCGTTGTGGAAGGCCGGGTAGTAGAAGACGTAGGCCAACAGCCAGGGGAAGGAGTAGGCGGCACGCTCAGCCGGCCGCTCCCGCCAGCAGAACTCGAGGCTGAAGCTGGTGTAGTACAGGCAGCGGACGGTCAGCGTGAACTGCAGCAAGTAGTACTCGTTTTCCGTCTTGTACCACCTCCTCTGCAGAATCAGAAGGAGAAAGCAACCTTAGAGTGTTCAGGAGGGACATCGTCCAATGCAGGTGCTGGCCACCTTTGAGAAGCCCAGGAGCCCTGGGAGTAAGATCTTCCCCAAGTAGAGCAGCTCTACCATAAAGAGGATGAAGACCCAATGAACACCAGGTTAATCTCATTGCTAATCAAAGCAACCAGTTAACGAGCAGTGGGGAAAAGAACGTCTCTAACAAACTTCGCATCAGACCTGACACGCAACAGAATGAAGGTTTTCCTGCCTATGGATCTGCTAGATGCATCCAGTGGAGATTAGCTACATTCAATGGCTACTGTGACAGCTCTGATGACAAAGGGACTTACAATGTCACGTGGGATTTCTGTCTTCAACATATTTTTCTTTTCACCCTTCTGTTGATTTGGCTCCATATGTAGTTGGGTACCATTTGCCAAATAAGCTCTAGAGACACATATTTAAAAGAAATAGTCCCTGCTCTCAATGTGTTTAAATTCTCATACAGGAGACAGGTTTGTAAAAATGCAATTACAATCCAGCATGAAACAAGAACAGGCCTGTACAAAAACCCCACATGGGACAAAAGACAAGAAGGAAATGTGATCAAATGTTAATATCGGGGGAATAAAATCATGAATCATTTTATAATCTCTATGTTTTCCATATTTTCTAAAAATACATATTACTTTTTAATGAAAAAAAACAATTTATGGAACTATATACAAGATATAGAATTGGGTCAAAGGAATGAGTAGTTAATTTGATCCATGAGGGTCTTTTAAGGCTGTTCACAGATAAACCAACCATTGAACAGAGTTTCCACTTCTTGTCTAAGACTTCAGCCACTAAGGGTGAGCAGAACATGCGTATCAAGAGAACCACAGGTGCAGAAGCATGGAACCCAACTTGTTCCTGGGCATTTCATCTCCTTCTGCAGTGTTTTTCAATTCACCATAAAATGTGCACAGAAAGTGAATATTTATTCACCACCAACATCCATAACTGATGCTGTCCCCAAAGAAATGATAAATTAGATTCTGTACACTGGCCAGGTCCCTAAAACATTAGGTTTATGTTCATATTTTTATTGCAAATCCATTTTTAAACACACTTGTTTAAATGATTGCCTCATTAATCATTCTGAGAGGAAGACACGCATCTTTTGTTAAGGCAGAGTTACTACCTAATTTACTCCAATAAGTCCAGATTTTGACATGTGTGTTTAAAACAAAGTATTAGCCCCAATCCATTGGTGAGATTGAGAAAAATTATGATAGTCTAACAGCAGCAAAAAAATACTTGAACTTTTGAAAGGCCACTGGAAAGTGGCCTTGTTAGTAAGTTATCTAACAGAAAAATAAACAGGAAGAGGAATAAACTCACGAAACACGATTACTCCTTTGAAGAGAAAACTCATAGCACAACTGCCCTTCGTTTTGTTTCATTAAACACACGGGACTCAATTCACTGTCTTCAAACCTAACTCATTGTTTCGCAGCCTTGAAGAGCCCCAGACAGACAACATGGTGCAGCAAGCTCTCCGCCTCAGTTCCTGCCAGGACTGCATGTCAAGAACTCTGGGAAAGCCAGCCTCACAAGAAAAAAAAAAAAAAAAATGGAAAGAGCAAACACAGCCACTCCTATTATCAGTCTGCAGCAACAGGGAAAAAAAAAAAAGTGATTTTTACCCTTTAAAAATCACCAAGCTACTTTTCCTCAGCTGCTGGCATTTCTCACTACTTTCTCTCAGTTCTGTGCCATTTTCCCTTTTTCTCTTTTCTCCTCTCCTTTCTTTTCTCCTTCCTTTCCCTTCTTGGGAAGGTAAATAAACTTTACTTCTTTTTATCCTAATCTTTGTGTGAGAACTCTTTCTCAACCAGCGCCATGTGCTCCTCGGGAGTGTCCAACCCTAACAGCTACAATTTTCATAAAATCACTTAACGTTGATCTTGTTTGACCCTGGGAACAATCCCGTAAGACAGGCAGAGCAGCTGTTACTTCCGTTCTACAAAAAAAACTGAGGCTCAGACATTAAATGGCCGCCTCCAGCTTCAAGAGCAGGAGGGAGACAGAATAGAACAGACTAGAAACCAGGCCGCCGGCCCATTTTTCCCATGATGCTCCTTCCTCCCACTGTGCAGATCCAGGACACACGAGTTCTACGGTCACCCCGATCAAAAGAGTGAATCGATGAGCACATGAACAAAAATAAAGATGTCACAGGAGTTTCAGTCCCACAGTGATTGAAGAGAGAATGTAAGAAACTTCCCAAGATTTTGCAAGGAATATTAATGGGGGGAAGAAATAAAGGACAGCCTACAGAGAAACCGATCCGCTAGCATCAAGTACCATTCAGAGAGCTGCCGGCCCTCTCACCACCCGGGACACAGGAGCAGCAGGACGTCACACGGAGCCTCATGGGACACTGCACATGCCTACTCCTTCCTCTGCCCCCATACGATCTCCACAGGCACATTCGCTCGGTCAGCAGGCACCTGCGGGGACCGGGCCTGCAGTCTCATACGCAGGTGCCTGGAAACACTGCCCTTCCCCTCAAAGAGTTTCTGTTCTAGTCCACAAAACCAGACACCCCACGCAATAGATGTCCACGTTGCATCATGTAAAGTGAACACAAAAAATCCTAAGCCAGCACAGAGCCCAGCACTCGTGAGAGCAGTCAGTACAACCCATTGATGCCATCCGAGGACACACAGAAAGAAAAACTGGGGTTGGAGAAATGTTTTATGCAGAGATAGGAACAGCACTAGAGACTGGTCTGAGCCTACTTTGAAAGGGACAAGAGAATCTGGTGGACGGGGATGGGAGGGAGGTTGGTTCCAAGAGACAGGGTAGACATGTGTACATGTGGTAAAGGGAAAGATAAGCAGATTAGCCTGACCCAGACAACAGCTCCTGTGACCCCACACTCAGGCAGTGGCCGAGAACCGGGCTAGGGGAGGTGGCTGATGAAGATGGAAAACTGCCATGGCTCTGGCCTGGGCACATGGCCCCATGTTCTCGGAGCTGCGAGTCTCTCAAGCTGGCCTTTCTTGCAGTTGACTGACCCTGCAGCTCTGAAGGCGCCCTAATGCCCAGATCCCAAAAACAGACACTGGAGCTGGGGCCCTGGATTTGTGTTGCTTTTTCCACGTGTTGCCACCCCGGGGGACGCTCCCACTTCTGGATGGTTGAGCTCCACACCGACCGTCCCTCGCAACCTCAGATCTGATGGCTTCCCTGGCAGCTTTGACGACAAGCTGGATTCTCCAACTTGGAAACAATCAATCAACAGATGACAGGCCAGGGAGAGAAGCTCAGAGTGGGCCTGAGACCAGCAGGGCCAGGTCATTCCAGTTGCCAAAGGCACACCCAGAGGGTCTGGAGGTGTCCAGGGGACGGTGCTCACAGCCCAGGGGATGATCGGAGAACGTACAACAGGAATCGGAAAACGCGGTGTGGGCAGAGTCCGCCCATGGGTGCCATCAGCTCAGCGACACACACCAACTTGGAACGCAGCCTGTCACCCCCTGGGCCAAAGCTGGTGTCCGCTCACAAAATAAAAATGCACTGTCATTGTGACTAAGAAAAAAATAAAGCTAAGAAAATAAATGCCTATAAAGGAAAATTTTACTAATGCAAACAAAAGCCATAAAGAAGCGGGGTGTAGGCCCAATGTCCTCCTCCATTAGCACGAAAAATTGATAGGTCTGTCAATGTCTTTGGGTTTCCAAAAATGAAAGCTTGGTCTGTGGCCTTTGGGGGGAAAAAACATTTTTTTTTTCACTTTCTAAATTCAAAGAGTTTCCAGTGGGGTATGCGAGTAGATAATAAATAAACCTGTTCCATCAACTAAGAAAAACACCTGCTTTACCATCACATGCAGGTACTGGATATAAGGAATGTGAGTGTTCACCGCAAATTGTAAAGTGCTCTCAAGACGATTATTATTAAATCTCTATGGGACTATTTGCTTCTTTGCCCTTTGTTCTTGCCCCTCTGCTCCTGGCAACATCCAGCACCCTCCAATGCCTACCTAAGAGAAAAGGCAAAGGGAGACACAAAACCTTGTGTGTCTTGGCCAGACACGAAAGACAAGATTGCAGAATGCCCCGCCGGGGTGCACGTGTATCAACCCCGTATGGTCGCTAGGGGGAGCCCCATCCTGGTTCTACAATCGTCTCTTGTCTGAAAACAAAGGTAATGGGCTGAGATCAGGGCAAAGCCAACAGAGCCTTTTCCTTCCCGAGGGTAACAGAAAGACACTTACCTTCACTTCCTCCACCCCTTGCAGCCTCAGGGTGGAGAGCAAGAGGAGAGAGCAGAGCCATGACAGGATCAGCGACCGGAACTGGGCCACACAGAAGGAGATGATGGCGTGCAGCAAGACCATGGCCACGCCTGGGAGCCCCAGCACACACCAGCAGGCCCACACCCCATAGCCCGTGAGAATCCAGGGTCTGTGCTGCGGAGATACACAGGGAGAGGGAGGAAAAGAGAGAATTTAGTTCACGGGCTTTGCTGTTTAAGGTTCTACATGTACAAGGGTCATGTTTGCTAACTCAGTAACCAAACTCTATCCTCACTCTCCTGGGAATCTGGTACAACACAGACCAAGAGGATTCAGAAGGAATTTCCACATCAGACCCCAGAATTCCACCAGATCCCACCCACAGGCGAGTAATCACTTTCCTGCCTTCAACCAAAGCCACCCAAACCCCCAGGGTCCCCCCTACAATAAGACATTAATTAAGCTGACTTTTCAATAGATATTATACCGTGGAAGCCAGAAGACAGCTGGAAAAGCTGCTGACCTGGACCCACCACGCCCTGCACCGACCACCCTTCAGAAGCAAAGGTGAAAGTATTAGTACACATTTCTAGGGAGTCACATTGAGAACACCAGGCTATCCAAACCCAATGAAACCTTTCTAAAGTCTAAGCCAGAGACTTGAAAGTATGTAATTACATTTTTGGCATATTGTTTACAAATTTGTATCACAGAAAAACTATCATGATTGCTGGGATACAGAGGCCTCTGCATGGTCCATCTGACTGATACATTAATTCCCATTTTAGGAGAATCGGAATATTTTTCTACACGATTATCAAGTAATTTATACTTATTACATTAAATAACTACATGGGCGAATTAACATGTCTTTGCTTTTATGACACACTCTTGGTTATAGCTGGTTGGTAAAGCCTTATTTGAAAACTGCAATGTTTTAACATTGAAATGCAAGATACCATCCATGGTTTAACGACTCAAGTTTTCAAGTCTAAGGACCTACATTCAAATGCTGGTGTCTCCATTAACCGCCTGTGACACCTTAGGCAACTTATTTAATCTCTCTGTGCCTTAGTTTCTTCATATATAAAATTGGGATAATAATAGTACCTACACTTCATGAGGTTATCGTGAGGATTAAATAAATTAATGCCTGTAAAATGCTTAGAACAGCATCTGCACACCTAGTAAGAAAGCTGCAAATACTAGTAGTTATTCCTACTAGGAAATGTGTCTCAATGGATGTGCATTTTAAAATGTGGTTCCCAGAAATACGCCGAGTGGAAAAGTGGGGACTGTCTGGATTTAGGTCCTCTCGTGAAAAGAGAAAGTCTTCTTTCAAGGAAAGGTAGATGTGGGTGTGTAAATTGTAAACGCCATCCTTAGATGCCAACTCTTCCAAAATACTGCCTGCGTGCTCCTCTTTCCCAAACCTGTACTTCAGCCCAAGACAGAACATTTCAAATGTGAGACTAGGCCAGCCACTTTTAAGCTCCAAGAAAACCAGAGAAATCTGAAGTTCATTTTTACTATTCTTCCAGCCTACTACCCACAGAAAACAGCCACATAAATTTGCTTTTGAAATTTCCCCCCAACACTCACCTCTGGGGAGAATCCAATTATAAGGAACGAGGTTGCCAAAGACTATTTTAAGAGATAGTTTAAACAAATGAAAAACAGGAGGATCTTTTTCCAGCATGATCTACAGCGTTTACCGTTGGAATTCTTTTTCATGCATGTGTGGCTATGTACACAGACACAGCTACATTTTTATTAAGTGCCATTTGATCCATTTGGAAAAAGCTGGTTTGCTGGGATTCATTTGGGAACTTACCACAGACTGAAGCTGCTTCAACTTGGAAAAGGCTGAAAGAACCTTCAGGAAATACTTGACAGTGCTGTGTAAACCCCATCTACTTGAGAGAGCCTCTGATACATTTAACAGTGGTCTCAAAAGCCACCTTAGGGCAGACAAATTTGTCCCATATTCTCATCCCCCACGGTTTCCCTCCTGCCAAACAGCACAGGCAGACAACATTCAATACTGTTCTAAGACATCACAGATGCTCATGCTCTCTATAAACCTTAACATTACCCACTTATTCTCCCCCAAGGAATACAGCCAACTCTACTACGTATATTCATGGCACACAGGTAATGAAAAGTACGATAAAAAGGTATGGATGATGCAAAAAGAATCACCTACACAAAACTGTTGGATAAATTAGAGCCCCCACTGAAATACTGATTTTCATACTTTATCTGTAAAAACGCCACTGGAATCCCATTCCCAAAACACCATTAAAATCCTAAGAGCATAATCAACCCTCCCACACCTTGTTCTCCAACTCTCATGACTGCAGGGCAGTCCCCACCATAGAAGGGGCCCTTGGGCACATTGGCCCGGCCACCATCCCTCCCACACACATGCCTGGATCTGAAGCAGTGTGCAGAGGGGTCTAGGGACTGCAGGGTGGCATTGCCTGGCAGGGCAAGTGGCAGCACGGATGGCCCACTTTTCCTAAGTGTCTCGATGACCAATTTCACATGCAAAGGCCTAAAGACAGCCAACACCCCGCCTATCTCTACGCTGACGACTGTGCTTATTTATCAAACTTGTCTCCCTCTTAAGTGAAAATGCTTAGAATCAGTATTAAGCTTCTGACATCAACTAGGCCGGAGTATTTTTTAGCTTTTCAAAAATCAAAAAATAAGATGTGTTATGTTTTTATTCCAAAGCAACACTTCTGACTCATCGCTAGCAGGGCTCTAAGATCGTCTTCCAAATTTTCAGGGTGATCTGAGCACATATACAATTGTGGCTTTGGTCACGCATACACTCTATGCCAAGCTCAAGTTTTAAAACCCCACCTAGAAGTCAAAATAGGCCAGTTCAAATGATGATTACAATTGGGAATTCTTAGTCACTTGAAAGAAGGCACAGAGAATCATATTGATCAAATAAAGTGTACAAATAAAACACAGCCTTAATTTAATGTTGGGCTGTGATGTTTCTCATTAAGAAATTTAGATTCTACTTACAGACAACTTTTATATAATGTTCTTTTTCTAATGGAGATTTTTATCAAGATAGTTGTATTCACATGCAGTTATAATACTAGAGAGAGGTCCTTTGTACACTTAAAACCACAAATACCACCATGATACTGACACTATTACAGTTCACCAAACTTACTCACATTTCCCCAGTTTTTCTTGTACTGTGTATGTGTGTTTAGCTCTATACAATTTTATCACATGTGCAGGTTTTGTACCCACCGTGGTAGAGATGAAAAGTAGTTCCATCACCACAAAGATCTCGCTCCTGTTCCCATTTTATACCATATCCACTGCCTCCCCTCTCTCCTCTCCCCCTTACCCCCTTCCTTCATCCCTAACCTGGCAGCTACTCATCTTTTCTAAAATTGTCATTTCAAAAATCATAGAGCATGCCACCTTTGGGATTGGATTTTTTCACTCAGCATAATTCCCTGGAGATTGCTCCAAGTCACTGTGCCTATCAATGGTGTTCGTTCCTGCTTATTGCTGAGTAGTTGTCCATGGTATGAATGTACCACAGTTTGTTGAACTATTTACCTGTTGGAGGAAATTGGCTGTTTCCAATTTGGAGCTATTCTAAAAAAAAAAAAAAAAAAAAACACTACTCATGCAAACATACATGTATAGGTTTTTATATAAAAATAAATTTTCATTTCTCTGGGATAAATGCAAGCTTGCTGGCCTGCATGGTAGTTGCATGTTCAGTTCTATAATAAACTGCCCACGTTTTCCAGCGAGCCTGTGCCATTGTACATTCCCACCTGCAATGTACGAGTGATCCGGTTCATTCATGCCCTTGCCAGTATTTGGTGCTGTTACTATATCTTATTCAAACCATTCTGGTAAGCGTGTAGTGGCAACCCATGGCGGTTTCAAGTTGACTTCACAATTCTCTACTAAAGGGTAGCAACGTGGGAGCGACCTGAAGCTTGAGATTAAAATGAGTTGAGAGATCTCTGCCGGAGCACAGGACGACAGCACCATCAGAAACTACCCTGACCCTTCCTCAACTCTCTATTCCAGGCTCTTCAGCTTGTAATAGAAGATGAAACAGAAAGCAGGGGGAGAGAGGAAACTTTTAAGAAACTAGATCATGCAGCAGTGGAGACAAAGCCAGACTGAGCATGCCATGGCCTTTCTGATGACACGGAGCCCACTGCCCCAGCCTGACTCAGGCAGGCATCCTCCCCCTCCCGCTCCCACTCTCCCGTGTCTACACTGAACCATTTCTCAAAAATGGGATCCAACTGGCTCTACTTGCTAGTCTCCCTTAGCAGGCCAAAATCCCGCTTTAGACATATTACAACAATGTAAGCCCAGAATCTAGCACGGTGCCTGGCACCTATCAGGCGTTTCATAAATATTGGATGGATGGATGGATGGATGGAGTCCATGGATGGGTGTGTGGGTAGGTAGATGAATATGCTTTCCCAAGACTTGGGATTTAACCCAGTAGTTAATGATTAAGAACAAGAAAATAATACCAAAATTTGAGGCTGTTTTGTTCAATAATGTGAAAACCTACTATCTTCCTAAGTCTCTATTTGTCCCACTTAGCTCCTTATAAACAAAGACTACTTTGCCAATGCAGATAGAAGGGAGTCATTTCATATCTCACTGCCCACCGTCTGTTTCCTATCCACAGGGTCTCTTACACCTCTACTTGTGTTGGGGGGAATCACCTCTAGCTAACACCAGCAGGACACAGCACGTCTGCAAGAGAACGTGTGGGTTAGTCCCAGTGGACCCCCCTGGGGGTCTAACCAATGGAGCCGGCTTATCTCCAACGCTGGTCCTAATAAAACACTATGGACCTGCCCTCTTGGCTGCTGAAATCTATACTCTTCAAACCTCCTTCATGGGGCATCAGAACCCAGCCACAGGAAACAATGGCAGACACTGCCCCTTCCCCACCCCGTCTCTACTTCAGCTCATCCTATCCTGTGCCATGCCTGAGTGCTTTCCCTGGTTAGCTTACCTCTGTCGGGAGGAGCAAAAGTCTCAATTATTGGCAACTGGACAGACTTTGCTTTGTGTTAATACTTTTTGCACATCTGCCAGGAAACCACTCAGTGGGAGCATTATTTGAGAAATGCAGAAAGGAAATCAATTGA